GCAGGTCCTCTCTCATATCAGCCACATAAGGATTTCGCTGAGGCACCACCTACTGTTTCGCTAAACTGGTGAAAGTCCCATAAAAACAGCGAGACAGAAACCTGTATTTTATTGAATGTTTGACAAATGATATGTACATTCAATATGGGATTGGCTCGAGAGTTCTTCTGAAGTAGCCACCGTTATGCTCCTTGTTTAACTTGGCGAACGAAGAAACCAGAGCTGATGCCGATTCTTCAACCTAAATCAAAGCTCATCACACATTCACGCGCGGCAGTGGTAAAATGTCTCCTGACAATGTCTCCTTGTGAGATAAGCGAGTAGGGAGCATTCTTACCGTGATAGAAGCACCTGCTCCGCCCATATCCGTCTGAACCCATCCGGGACAGAAACTAGCAACGAGAATATGTTCAGGCTCGAGATCAATAGACATCGTCTTCATCAAGGAATTAAGCGCAGACTGTAATCGAATGTCTCAAGCAGCACAAGCAAGACCTTACTAACGAACACGTATAAGGTCAAACTAATCCACTTCTTCCGGAAAAATATTCACCTTGCTTACTCTGTAGGCCAGCGCCCCAAAGTTTCCTGATCCTGACGTATTTGTACTGATAGAACCAACTCCTGACGAAATGTTGAGGATTGCAGCGCGTTCTGCTGAGAACTCGTCCGAAGCCGTTTGAGCAGCTGCTTTGCGTAACAGTGGCAGGAAAGTCTACAAGCATGAAAATCAATGAGCAAGAACAAAAAGAACGACATTCAGACTACGAATCTTTGGTAACGCTAATCCTTGTAGGTACTGTGGAATGAGCCACGCATTCGCGTTCTACAGACAAGCTGCACTCGCAACTCCAAGGGAAATCGCCCCCATGTGAGAGATGAGTGGGTCTGCAGCTGTGAAAGCATGTCGCTTTCTCGCTCAAAGGTGCATGGGAGCGGGGCCGAGTTCCCTCTCCATACTCTACCCGCGCTGTCCCAATGTGCAACCAAAAGAAAGGGTACAGACAAGTAGGACGTTTGGCCAAATAGGCGTATGGGTGGCTGTGCGGCAGCGCTAGCGGAATCAAGGATGGCACACGGGTGTGTTCGGTGAAATTGCCGTATCTTTTCTGCCTGCCATTGTGCTACGTCCCCCTCTCGTGAACCATCCCTCCCCTCTCTCCTTCCTCTCCGTATCCTCTCGAAGTCACTAACTGTAAGCGGGAAAACGGCTCACCATCAGAATATTGGAGCAGCTTCATCGCCTGCGATAGTAGGTCACAATGGACGGAGACTTATGCCTTGGTGCTGCCCGCGTTCACTATTTGATTCTACTCGATTCTGTATCCGCAAGACAGGCTTGAGAAGACTACATGGCAGCATGAAGGTTAGTCTCGCCCATTTTGACGCTCCTATTCGCGAGGCGCTTGATGCTGCATCGATGTTCATAAGGATTCTCTCTGCAATTTTGGGCAAAGTTATCCTTTGATTTCTTTTCGCGACCGCCTATGAGCATCCCGCCCCTTTTCTGGACCAGCAAATAAAACTAGCTCCATGTCAAATGGTAAACTCCGAAAGCATAAAGACGAATGTTGCTTCAAAAGATGTACATTCAGGATAGTGTTCAATAAGAAATTTATTCCTAGGTTTAGGTAAGTTCCGAAGAATGCACGAACACAGAGACGGACACGGCGATACCACTGAACACACCTCACTTGCCTCTGCGTCATATGCTACAGTAAGGCACTGCTGAGGCAGCCAACTCCTTCCGCTTTTCGATCCAATTTGAGAGGCTTCTGCTTAATCCTGCTTACCGGATGTTCATCCTAGTGGCTGCTAGTCGTCTCTCTGTCCCCACACCTCTTAACCTCTTAAAGGCTCGATCCGCGATCAGATATAGATGTTGGAATTATGGCGTCGGGAGGGTTGGGTGGTTCGTGGCAAAAAAAACTCTGTACCGATTGCGCTGCCGAACATTGTGAGGGAGGGGCGCTATAGCAAAATAAGTTCAGTGGCGCCCCCTTTTTTCCAGTGGCTCCGCCTCCGGACTCCGCCTTCGAGGTCTATTTTCAGTGAAAAATGAAGCTGCCGGACGAAAAAGCATGAAAATCGTCACTTGTACGGTCGTAGAGTTCTTATCGGGAAAATCAGCTGTGCGGATGAGAGTATAGTGTTGGAGATGGAGTTGACTGGACACGTACAAATTGTATCGAAATGGGGTTCCATTTAGAGCAGGTTGCATGATTTCTGATAGCCGTAATGCACTCTGTGATGCGAATAGTCGTGGGTTTTACCTTTAACCATAAAAAAAACTCAACTCCGTACGCCTGGGATCCCCAACGTACCATGCGTCTTGCACTCGTGTAAGAGAACGTAAAGTCTCAAGGGCAGGCGGTCAAGCGAAAACAGGGTGGTATTTGGTCGCCGGAGAAACTGGGTCGTTTTTTCCATCAGGATGAATGTTTCCAGGGACCGGTAGATTACTTTTTTTGGAAATTTTCCCGCTTCATGTCCGCTACATACGCTACATACTCTCTTACCCACAACAGCTGTTTTTGGGAAACTAGGGTTGGAACTCCTGGAGAAAAGAAACTCCGGAAAAGCGAGGAAGCTTGGAGAAGGTACACAAAAGGTTGGAAGGATTGGAAGGGGGTGATCAAACCAGAGGAGGAAGTTCTGAGAACGGTTGCTCTTTGCAAAATTTTTCTCCTAACGGCAACACGTGCCTCGTATTGGTCTGGGGCTTCAACCCCCAGTCGCGGCCTTGCAAGCGGCCTATGTCGCAAGCGGGGCAACGTACGCAGCATCCGCACTAGATCCCAACATTCAGCATGTTGGTGGTAGTGGAGACAATTTTTCTGTTTTTTTTTGTTCTGTATTTCCTAAGTCAGCTCCTACTGCGACGCAACGACTGGAAAGTAACTATCCACACACGAGTCATGTAGCTCGTGGAAGCACTTCGACGAAGACCGCAGCTACACAGAGAGTTGGTTAACCACTAGAGGAAAGTTTGAGTTCAAAGAAGCGCTACACGCATCCTCGCACGAGAAGTGAAGAGTCAGTAAAAAGTTCAACCAACCTGCGTCAGAACAGCGACGCTAGCTGCATTTACATCGAAATTTTTGATGAGATCCGCTCGATTTGGCTCTTGATTCGTGAAGTACTTCACCCACATACCAGCATTGTTCACAAGTATCGTGAGCCCTTTATCACCAACGATGTTTTCTACCTGTGAGTGTTAGAAGATACCCGTCAACCTCTTCGAACTGTTATGGCTTTTTGAGAATATCTCACCTTCTTGTAAGCGTTCTTTATTGATTCGTCACAGGTGACTTCGAGCTTCACGATGTGCAGTCGGTCGTCCTTGATATCCTTCAACTCCTTAAATGGGAAATTAGTGAGAAATAAAGAAAGCGAGGACTTCGCGGGGTTATGAGAGACAACTTCAGTCTTCGCGATCGCGTCGTCAGCTCAATGTAGGAATAGTTCTCAGGGTCGTTACTGCGGGTTTCCTTCACAACTTTTTTTTGCTTGTCTCATTTACTGTGGTGGATTCACAACCATTTAATTAGGGTATGTTATAGGACTAACATATAAGAATGAATGATACGGTGGTAGTTCAACTTTATTACCTAGAGCATCTCTCAAGATAAGCACCACTCAAAACGATACCGCAGGATAGTGCGCAAGCCAAGTCTTAGTCAAGCCAGTAGATGAGCACCGCCCACATTCGCCTGTATATAAGTCCCTCAAGTCGTTGTATTAATGTCGGTTATACGGTTCAGTACGAACACGTCGTAATAAATCTTACACGTGCGAGTACTCTCATTGGTAAGACATCAAAGCTACTCAGGACCAAACCTAACTCTCCGGCTTTTTAGGCTGGTGGTTTTTTTTCAGAAAAAAAAAACTGGTGAGCTTCTGGAAAATTGGTGGGCCTTTGAGGAGATTGCAGAAACTGTTGACAGTTTGTGAGAGGGAGCCGTGACCGAGGAAGGATTTTGGGGCACCGCTTTTCAAAGGCAGAGCCCGCGTTCATTTGATGTTCTCGCAATTTCTGGAGGAAGTACCAACCTCGCAGCTTCAAAAATACAGTAGAAAAATTTTTCCTGCTTTTTCCTTTATCACTGAATCACTTGCTAACTTGTTATTACAATCTGAGCCGCATAACTCAGCATTTTTGAGCGCGTTCATTTCCTTTAACCCATCGCGAAAGCGCAGCCTGTCCTGTTGCCAGACAAAAATAGTTCAAGTTGATGACTTACGTGGGTAGTATGTAACCTCAAGACTAAGATTCAAGAACTGATAATGCAACCAACAAAGATCAATTGGGACGTTATAGGTAAGTGCCGAGAAAGGCGTTCCCTGCTGCACAGCTGGTACTCCAATTGGCAGCAGGGTGATGCATCTTTGAATTACATTCATAACTACTCACTTTGGCGCTCTCTGGATCGCGTGCGGTTGCAATGACATGACGAATCTCCTTTGTTCTTGAGGAATTCCTTGACAAGACCAAGGCCAATGCCGCGATTGGCACCCGTCACCATAACCGAATAGGGAGTCATCTCTGATCTGAAAGCTACTAAAGAACAATTGCGAAGCGGCATCTTACAAAACTCTTTGTAGACCGCGAAGAACAGCAATCAGCTGATGCGAAAAATAAGTTAAACACCCAAATTCACAAATACTCTCTGCAAAGTTCAACTGTACAGATATATACAGGGGGCGCCCCAAAAAAAAAGACATTTCGACCGAGTCACATATCAGCAAAGTTTTCGCAGCCCAGACAGAGAACGGATACGAGTACCAGGGCGGAAGATACCCAAGATGTTCCTCTATAAGCAGGAGCTGGCGCTCGCCCATCACCTTCATGTACACCAAAATATGAAGTCATCTCCAGCGCAACCTGACTGGAGAAGACCTTCGGAATTCATGTCACCTCCGAACAGCTGCGAAACTTCTTGTATGGAGTCACCCATGGATAGCTACCTGGAGATCAGTACTATCGATCTGGAAGACCCCTAACATCAAGCAGCTCCGCCAACGTCGCTACGGTCCAGGACATCATCTTCACCTCAGTCGCCAAGGCGCCAGTTGATGGTGGACCGGACGTACCTGGAATGGAGAGACCGATATTTTCTTCGTGGGCCCCGGACTAAAGGTGAGCGCTGGCGGTTACATCGAGCAACTCGAGAAGAATATCCTCCCCACATGTCGTCGCCCGTACCTTCTTGGAAACTTTGTACTGCTACAGCATTGGGTGCCACCACGTGGAATCGAAGGGCGTTGGAGAAACTCTCGCCTACTTGGAATGGAAGGGGGCTGAGTACCTGAAGAAGGTGGAATATCTAAGCAGGTAACCTGACCTAAACCCCTCAATTACCTGGTTCGGGCGGAGTTCAATAGGGTGGTCTACAGTGGCGGAGAAATCAACGATCTCGCTGAACTCACGCACCCACTGACGGTCGCGTGGCAGAATCTCTCGATGGCGCTCCTCCAGAAGGCTGTGGCGGAGTATCATGATAGTATTTAATATGCTCTTTAATATGGTGGTAGAAATGTCCGATAAGAATTTAATAAAGTGTACTTATAGCGCCTCGAAAGTCGAGGAAGAAAAAAGTCTTTTTTTTATGGGCCCCCCTGTAGGATGAAAGAAGTAGTGTCTGCTCAATTGAAAACTCGTTTCCGATTTCTTCGGCAGCTACACGAGGAAAAAGAGCAGTTGATAAGAACAGGTTAGGGTTTGGCAGCGTGGTTGGACATATGCTCTCAAAAATCTCTGTTCAATTTCAGGAGGACAAAGCAATGACTTTTTCACTTTGTCTAGGTTTGTCAAGTTGGCAAGACAAGATAATCCTTGCACTAAATATGTCACTGGACAACAAAAGGTTCCTTTTAGTTCAACATTGCTACTTAGGACACTATATGTAGTTATTTTTGCACGTTGAATAGTAGAAAAACAGAGAAACTTATGAAAATGAACAAAATGCGAAGCATCAACTGACATATAAGATAAGCTGGAAAAATCGAAAGCAATACCCAGAGCGACAAAAAAAACAGAAGGAGTTAGAAAAATTTCCCCTTCCTCCCGTACTGGTCGAGACCACACAGTGAGAATTGCAAGTTGAAAGGTCACCATACTGCTTATGGAACTGACAATGTAAAAACGTTAGCGATTCAAGAGCATTGCTGCTAATTGCCGATAGCGAACAACTCAGAGGCAGATAGCCAACTAACCTAAATTTCATTGTGAACAAATCTGGTGAAGACAGCTTGGGCTCAACATAAGGAAGACACGTTCCAGATCACGCTCATGAACCGACTTTTTGTGCAAAGGCAGGTAAAAAGAAAAAGGAACACTTGATGGAATCGACTGACTAGTAATGAGACTGCTAGTAAAATAATGAAATAAGTTGTGTTTAAATCAATGGTCCACACTAAGATGCCGAAAATCTAAACAGTAAAATCTACCATAGTAATAGTACACAGCATGCACTTTGCAACACTTTCTATGAAATCCGTGAGGCACTCATACGACCCTATTTTAACGGCTCAAAGTTGACAAAATTTCCGGTGATTCTTTCGTAAGAACGCATAGGCCATAATATGCCGTTGAATTCTAAACAACATGCATCATAGCAGCTGACTAAGGTGACCATAGCATAACTTCTAATACCTAGTAATTACAATTTCGGTATCCTGATTTTTCGGATAAGGTAGGACAGGCTCCAGCAGTATATGCGTATACGCGCTTTTTAAATAGGCCGACTGATGTCATTGCTCTTCACGGTTTGTCATCTTTTCCGCTTGTCATCATTTTCTACGCCACGATAATGTTCGTTGGATCGAGCGAAATATCGAGGAAATAAAATTTGGAAATAAATTAGGATCATATTGATCGGCCCTTGTTTCAAAAATATCCACTAAATATGGATCAGCTAGGAAGGAAAAATTGAGTAGAATAAATACAAACAACTGTATACATTGTTGCTGCCCAGACAGGAGAAAATGAAGAAACAGAGCAATAGAGAAGACAGTGAGTAGGATGCTCGTCTAAGTAAAAGCTTACGACTTGCCCAAATAGAGAGGTGAGAACGAAATTTGAGAGCGCGAAATGAGAGTGATGCAGGAAAGCGAATCTTTGTTGCTGTTTGTTGTCAATACGCGTGGCCAAGCAACCATTCGGTCTGCCAACGAAACTGCCGTTTGCCCTTATTAAATTAAGTGCTGCGCGGGTAAGCAGAAGACTTTCAACGTTCCTAGTTACAGCTAATCATGCTCTTTTCTTGGCAAAGGGTAAAAAAGCCTCGACTCCACTCGAAGATAAGGACCCCCTTTGTTCTCAAAAACTTTATGAACATTAGAGGACACTGTTTCACATTGAGGTTCTGACAGATAGAAATGAGTTACAGATCAGCATCAAGCCCGGAATATTAAGTCGAGAAAAGGATGACTGAACGTGATGAAATCGCATATTGAGCGGACACCGGCAGTACAAAGATCACACCGCGGCGCTGTCCCCTGTGAAACCTTTCAAGAGGAACTTGTTCTTCGATCCAGTGCTAACTGTGTTTCTCTAACGTACTTAGGCGTGGCTAGAACTATTACAAAAGAGATGTGAGAAATCTCTATTGCAAATCACACATTTGATGAAGAGATTTGACTAGCGCATCACCCCCTTTCATTTTTGAAAACACAATTTTTGTTGCTTCGGCTACACTGTAGCCTTACGATTGAGCCTATGCACACCGTGCTCTCAAGCACGATAATATATCCTTAGCGAATTGCTTTAGGATTTCTCACTCTCCGCGTCTTTAATGGGACGTTACGCGATAGCATAAGCCAGAGTGTGGCAACATTGAAATGCAACTTGTTGGTTGGCTTATTAGTGAAGAAGAAGGCACGGGAAACTCGATAAAGCCCTCATTATTACAGTCGATCATTATCACTGGACGATGGTCACGTTGTACGAAAGGCTGTGAGCAAGGCTTGACCCTAAAAAAACGCGAGAAAGACCAGAACACGAAAGAATGGAGAGCAATACGACATTATCACAGTGAAAGGGGCACAGTATTCCGACGTGGGCCCATAGGGTTCTAGGGGCTCAACATTGCATCTTCTGCGCATTGCTTGCCAGTCTCACCTTCGTATTAGGTCATCCCATTCAAAGTGGCCGACACATATAGAGGAATGGCAGAAAAGCAAAGGGGATAGAGCAGGGGCTACTATACCATTTGGAAGCTAGTACCTTAAGCTGTGTATCCGTGAAAATTGCCGAACTACGTTAGAAGAAGTCTCCGATAATATTGAAAAGAGCCCGCAGTGGTGAAATTGCCGATTTTTCAATCAGGACTCATAAAAGAAGGGCCTCTCAAATGTGACCTGCGCCGACCAAGATGTATGTAAGCGTGTTCTCGAAATACACGGTGGAAGATCTGGTTCAGGAGCCCGTACAAGGAAGAAAGGAAACAAATTTGTTGTCGTGGGTGGTCCCATAATATTCAACCTGCACAAGAAAAAAGGGTTGATGAAGTCTGATCACAGAGCCTGCACCCTTGTCGAGCTTCCGAGTCTAACATCCCAGCTGCAACTGCTGCCCGAGTTATGTCCGATAAATGGAGGCATGGTTCAGGAAGGGTGACCATGGTAGCCCAATTTTAATAGAAGGCACGAACGCGAGTAACCAATTCATATTACCTCCAGCGAGTAATTTCTCAGAGCATTTCACTCACAACTGTGAAAACGCACCCCGGCCCTAGATAGAATATGGGTGGTCTCGGACCTCGAGTCGAAACTTACAATCGTCAATTTTGTATGAATGCAGATGAGAAGCCCCGAGTTCTACCATGAAGAGTTACGTGGGCGCAAGTGGATGATCATCATAGCAAAGGATTCCCACACTGTGGCTTTCAAGCGGCTCTATACAGAGAACAAATCCGTCACTGTCGGTGCATATTGCCTGTTCCTCGGCATTCAGATCGACAAATGGATGTACCACACAACTACAAGAAGGCCACCGTTGCTCGTCATAGTGCCAGACCCCGAGTAACTGTATTGTAGATCAGTGCTGGGACACAAACAATACTGAGACCTCGTCCCATTCGCCCGTCATAAAGCCATGCGATTACAACTGTTCTATTCAGTGAGAGTACTCTCCGACGGCAGACGCTACAATGTTTTGTCATTTGCCGAAATTGGCAACAACAGCAATTTACCCACACTTGTTGAAAAATCGAAGGTACCAGAGGTCCAAAGGCCCTCGGGGCACTGGGAGCGGGTCATTGGTGAAGGAGGGATTTACTCATCCTAAAGCTAAAATATCACTTTTCTATCTATTCTCCTCTTTGTTTTATTCAAAAAACCATCGGCCACTTTGAATGGGATGACCAATATAATGTATAGCCTTTCCCATCGCGAACCAAGCA